AGGGTGTTGAGACACTGGGATGGGTTCCCAGGGACCCTGTGGCTTCCCCATCCCTGGCAGTGTTCAAGGCCAGGTTGGACACAGGGGCTTGGAGCGACCTGCTCTAGTTGAAGGTGTCCCAGCCCGTGGCAGGGGTTGGAACTGGAGGAGCTTAAAGTCCCTTCCAACCCAACCCAGTCTATGAGCTCTGTCTCCATACCTGTGACTAGGGACTTTGGGCATGGAGACACCCTGACCCACACATGGTGACTCTTTCTCTGCAGATTGAAGAGGGTCTCGCCCTGTTGCTGAAGGTGCTCCAGGACATGGCTCTGCAAAAAGTCACAAAGGTCTGGTACCTGCTGCGAGCCCACGTCCTGCAGCTGGTGGCCACCTACCTGAGCCTCCCCGTTGCCCGCCTCTTGCCGGAGCTCCGGCAGCAGATCTTTGAGCAAGGTGAGCTGCTGGGGGATGGTTAAACCCTCCTGGTGAGCACCAGGCTGGCAGGAGCCACGGGCAGAGCTCCATGCAAATGTTTTACCTTTTGGGCTTCTCCAAACCAGTCCGTTTGGGGTGAGGAGAGGGGATCTGCTGGGGCTGGGGAGGGTCGCGGTCGCTGCTGATACCCAGAGCTGCCCTCACACAGGGTGGAAGACACCCAAGACAGCTCTTGTTGAAGCCCAGAAGCTCTTGCGCAGCATCATCCTCCTGCTGATGGGCAGCAGTGTGCTGGGATGTCAGCCAACAGCATCTGATGGCCACTTTGTGGATTATGGTGAGTTGGGCATCATGTGGAGCACAACCCACAAAGAGTTGGGCTCCTTGCCTGTGTCTCTATGAGGAGCAGCTCTGGTGACCTTCCTGTCCTGCCTTGCAGGGGACAACCTGCTGCTGAAGTGGCAAGTGTTGGCTGATGTGCTGGCCTGCTCAGAGCACCTCGTGGCTCTCCTCAGCAGGTTGGAGGTGGTGTGTAAAGCCAAAGCCTTCTGCTGGGAGGCCGTCAAGCTGGCCATGAAACTGCAGGCCACACGGTGGTGAGCTGGCCGTGGAGGGGGAGAACAGCCCGGCCCTGGGCTTGGGGGGTGCTTGGTTAGGGATGGACCACAGGGGGGACGTTGGTGTCTGAGCCGCTTTGGGGGGGGGCTGGCCCTGGTGGGAAGGTTTGGCATTTTCTCAGCTTGGTCCAGAGCAAGCATCTGCTTTGGGGAACATTATCCCATGAATTCATCTTGCCAGGTCAGATGTGGGCTTGTTCCTCACTGCCCACCCTGGCCCTGAGGGCTGGTTTCCCCTGTAGGTGTACTTCCTTCCTGGTGCTGAAGGCCCAGCTGGAGCTGCAGCAGAGTGAGCTGGAGCTGAGCCACTTGGACCTGCAGCAGGCCCTCTTCCTCCTGGAGCCTGACAGTGGTGAGTCCCTGCTCCGGGCTGGAGGAGGGCAGTGGGGAAGGTGAGCCCCAAGCCTGGGCAGCTCCAGTTTGGGCTGGGCTGAAGGATCTGCCTTGTGCAGATGCTCCTGCTCAGCCAGGA